ATTCGCAACATATCGTGGTTTCCAAATAAACTAACTATAATCTCGACATGCATTCCATACTTGATAGGGGCTTATTGAATACCAAGCCAGCCCGATCGCCGCATTTATTTCAGATCTTGAACGGCACACTTACTGTCTCAACTCGAATGCGATTATCAGTTTCACTCGACCCGGGCATTCGATCGTGGTTTGCATTTCCAGTTTTCAGCGGTGTGACAAGATCTCTGGAATGGCGAGGGACGGGTTTGAGGTCGGCAAAAGGCGGCCACTTCACGTGCTGAATAACCACTCTCCCTCCCAGTCTGCAAACCTGCAGCGTCGCGTACCGTTCAACGCTCCAAAAATCCTCCCGCGAAGAGCACCGGTCAGTGCCGTGTATATCGTACTAATCTGTACTGTGCAGTGCTTTGCAATGGAACGCTTCGTCTTTCCACATCGCCAAGCTGTTTGTGACCAGACTGTCAAAGATTGTCCACGTAATTACCAACCATGACTGGCGGTTGGCGGGATCATTTCAACTAGAGCCGTCCCTGAATGACCCGCAATCGTGCTCTCCATGTCTGACGATTCATCCGCGTCCTTTGGGCGGCCGATGGGCGGCTCGGGCGGCAGCTGGGGCGGAGGGGAGGGGGAGGGCGCCAGGTGAAGCGGCGGCGGCGGCGGCGGCGGCGGCAGAGCCTCCAACCGGCCTTGAGCGGATAACGGGCCTCCCCGACTGACCCAGTGCCGGGTCCGGCGTGTGACCCGCCGCGCCGCCGCCGCCGCCGCCGCCGCCGCCGCTGTGCTGCTGTGGCTGTGAGGCCAGCGGAGGTGGGATGAATGATGATACTCCTGAACTCCGTCTCGCAGCGCTAGGATTAGGATAGAGAGATAAGGGAGGAGATATAATTGGTGATAAATTGAATAATGCACAAAACTATGTGCTATGAAACTCTTTTGCAGTTCATGGCATACAGCAAGAGCAATTTGTGATGGTTGGCACTTGGCAGCGCTCAGATCATGTCACTCACTATTATTGATATACACATTCAATAGTATAAGAAAAAACCCAATGCCGTCACTTAATCGGGTTCTTCTCAAAACAGCAACATGACTCGCGATCAGCCACTACATCATCTCTCTGCATCCCGATCAAAACACGGCTCCAGTCGCCTACCATGCCGTACTGATGGCTCCCCGTGGGAAGCGATCCCACTCAGAGCGCTGTGTACCGGGCGCGGTCGTGCCTTCCATTCCAGTCTCCACATGACTGGGCCTTCAATGGCGGGCTTTACTGAACTTTCCCGGCGCTCGGACCGAGGCAGAGCGACAATGCGGCGAGACATTAGAGGCGTAATGGCCACCCATGGCTGGCCATCTGTATTCATTCCGCTTCAATGACATCGGCTGGGTTCCAGCCAGAATGGGTACAAATAGGGTTACACGGGTGCGCACTGGAAAATATGTGGAATGAAAAACAGTTCATTCGCCTGAATGGGAAACAAGGGTGGGTGAGATGTCACAAGGTGTTAGACGTAAGTCGGGTAAGCGCTCGAATTCCAGAACACAGTATGACACCAGCTGCTTGTCCTGTTTCTCAGTCATCGCCGGTGTAAAGTCCACACACTTCTGTTCGACGGCGCCCATCTGTCGCAGCTCTGAAACGAGGTGGGAGTAGCTCGATGACTCTCTTTGGATGGTTCTACTGAGCCAAATGCACGCTGCAGCTGGACCACAGAGCCAGGGTGGCACACATCTGAGCCAGGAGGCTGGACACTCCGAATGTTTGGACCAACTGTCGCTGTGAACTAAACCCGGCCCGACGCCACCCCATATGGCAGCTGGACAGTTCCGAGACTCAAACCAGAGCTGTGGCGCTCTTATCACCCACTCTGGTTCTGTTTTTGCTGCCTCAAAGATGTGTGGTGGTCAGGTGGCCATTTAGAGCTTGTAATGGGTAGTGGCCCCACTCAGTTGTAATTGCACCTGTTGTCGAACTAAGAATGTGTCGGCACGCAGCCAATTATAGTCGATATTAACGCGTAATGACGAAAATAATGGGAAGGAGGCCAGCCTGCTTTCTAGTGCGTTGTCGATAATTGCTGAAAATTCGAAGCCGGTAAGGGTTGAAAGAGTTTGAATCGCACGTGTCTACCTAATTCGATCGGGTGAACAGAGGCGACGCAGGGCGCTGATAAACATGTTTACTCCGCTTGACGGGAAGAGCGAAGATTAACCACCTTTGCTACAAACCTAATTTTAATCTCAGCAGGGGTCACATCAGCATGAAGAACCGATTCATGCACGCGAACAAAGGCAAAAAGGATGAACCAGTTTGATGCGATCACCCTGTACAGAAAATATAGCCACATAAGCGAAGAAATATACTGCAAATAAGAAAGATGATGTTTATCGGTCATGCCAACAGATTCTGATAGCAACGCTCAGTATGCGGTAGTTTGCGGTCCCATGCTAAGAAGGTTGTTTGGTCTGGTAACGCTCCAAACAGTCATGGTTGTTAGTACGAAGTAACTAGACGGGCAGGCGAGCCTGCCCGTCTAGTTACTTCGTACTAACGTTTCAGCAAACCCATTACAAACTTAGTCATGGTTGTTTCTCTGTATAGCTCGTCATTTACCCGGCCATCTTATGCACCCAACGGTGCACTTTTATCACGGAGGATCGCCTTTGTGAGACGGTCGTGCACAGTGCGAAACCCAGCGCCGAGTCATCGACCGGGCCGGGGTCGCCGACATTGATTTTGATCTTGCAATATTCTCTGTAGTCTGCATCCGGAGAAAGGATTCGATTTCGTATTCCCGCCCTACTTTCAATTGTGGTCGATGAAGAAATGGTGTATCCGATGGTGTAAGCTTTGGTGATCAATTGATGATATCATCACTTTCCAATGAATCTTCACACATAAATTCATGATCAGAGCTGGACCAATTACTAAATTTATAACCATCATAACACGACTGTAGTACCCATATGCTCAACAGTAACATACCAGGCAGTTACCGCACCGTGGCGGCTGCGTGCTGAAGGCGCCCACCACACCGAGCGCGCGCACCGTATGACGATGACAAGCCATGTTCAGGCCAAGAAAAACGACGCATTGTTGTCAGAAAGGAGAACGTCATGGCACCGAACAGGCGGCAGAAGCCTGACGACCGCTGGGCGGTCAGTCAGGGCGGTCCACCGACTTGACAGTTTTCTTTCTCTATTTCTTTTCTCTTTGTCATTTTCGTTGAGGGTGGACGCTGTTGGACAGTTGATAGAGTGAGCTCAGAGCTGGATTGTGAGGGATTGTGAGGATTGTGAGGGTTTGTGAGGCAGAGGGGGCGGCCAGTGAGCGAAATGCCGTAAACGGCCAGGTGGAGGATGTCAACTGTGGGCCACCTGCCATCCTGTCAAAATTCGTGAGGATGAAGGAGAGTGAGGGAGCGGAAGAGAGAGAGAGAGAGAGAGAGAGAGAGAGAGAGAGAGAGAGAGAGAGAGAGAGAGAGAGAGAGAGAGAGAGAGAGGAGTGGTGATAGAAAGGAGGGTGTGAGAGAAAAAGAGTAGGTATATGAGAAGGGAAAAGGAAGTAAGAGTAAGAACTTAGAATAAAAGGCGAGGGAGAGCAGGCATCTCCTTCTTTCTCTCTCTCTCTCTCTCTCTCTCTCTCTCTCTCTCTCTCTCTCTCTCTCTCTCTCTCTCTCTCTCTCTCTCTCTCTCTCTCTCTCTCTCTCTCTCTCTCTCTCTCTCTCTATCTCTCTCTCTCTATCTCTCTCTCTCTCTCCTCTCTCTCTCTCTCTCTCTCTCTCTCTCTCTCTCTCTCTCTCTCTCTCTCTCTCTCTCTCTCTCTCTCTCTTTCATATCATTTTGCAAATGATCTGCATATTTCAGAGCCATGTAAGGTATGAAGACTTAGTATATAAGCTTAAAGATAATCTAATTGTTCGCGTTTCACGAGACCAATCAGTTGTTCCTCCCACAGAACGCCCAATGCTTGGAATTGATTTATGCCGGTTATCATTCACACATTATTATGTAGAAATTCCGGCTCGCCCGGGACCAATTTACGTGGGAGAAGTGTCCCGCTAATGCCACCTCAGCCGTAATGAGTTGTCCGCTCTCATCTGACACTTTCCTTTCACACGAACCCCTGACTATCGTCCACAGAACCATTACCCACCGGCAGCCCGGTGTCATTGATTTAATGGGGAACTCGGACCCGCGTGCGTGAAGAGAAAGGCCACCAGAAGCTGCGTCTGCGGGACTTTGTCACACTCCCTGCATGCAAATACATGTGGGCCAAAGGTGCAAAAAAGGGGGAAAAGTAATGGACCAAGGTTTTGGAACCAGAAAATTACACGACTGGATGCGTTTATTCTTGTAACGATGCCGTAAAGAAGCAGTTATTGTGCAATTTGCATCGCAATGAACACAGTAAGCAAATAGCTATGAGTAATGTGCGAAGAGAACGAGCACCGTAATGCATTACTTTTGCATGACTTTTGATCTGGGACAACTGTCATGACAAATGAAGCACCACTTATTTACTAGACGAACAAGATGACAAATAAAACGCTAACAAATGACATTCCTTGTTACGAAAACGCTACCATTTGTATCAAATGACCGGCAGCATCCGGAACTTTTCCCACATTCCGGAAGTTTCGTCATTGCGAAACGCTAGCCGGCCGTATTTCTGCTCGCCCATTTAGCCGTCGCCGCAGCCGGCCTGCCCTTGTGGGTGCCGCCGTAACCGGGGACCATTTCCGCCGGTGACCTGGGCACCGCCCGCGGCTCCCTGCTTCCGGTGACCCTTAGTCACCGTCCGGGTCACCGCGGGGTCATCACCGGGTCATCTGCGGGTCACCGTCGGTTTCACTGTCGCCAGAACGGCCGCGTGAAATCGCCGGGCTGCCGAGGGCCGCGGTGCCGGCCGCGCAGCGCCTCCTCCCCCGCTCACCTACCTGGGGCGGCAACCGGCGCGGCCGGCCGGCCAAACTAGGTCTCGGCGACGAGCGGCCGGCGCTCGACGCCGCGCGCGCCGCTCGTCGTGTCAGTCGCGAACGGAACGGAGCAGGGAGAGGTCCACCTCGGCACAGTCCGAGCTACCAACTCCCCGGCCAGACCCGATCGCGCCGGTGTTCGTGAGCGTGTACCTGGGCAGTGTGGCTCGGCGATTCGGCGACACTCAGTGGATTGAAACGGCGCAAAAGGTGATTGATTGGGGCGGTCGGACAGTGTGCGCGGAGGACGCAGAGACTGAGACAGTGAAGTGGGGTGATTGAATCCAGACGTGGGAGTGCACTGTTGGACTTTGTCAGTGCTGGTCTGGATCTCATCGCCTCTTGTGTGTTTTATAGTAGATGTGTCGTCACCTCTCATCCGTTTTAGCCGGTGTTTGGAATCGATAAACCAATTTTACACACAACATAAGACTGGAAGTCTTACTTACTGAAGCCGCTTTTACGAACCGATATCGCCGCATTTTGGTGATGATCTATCGAATAGTTTTTTGACAAGCAAACGATCAATTGAAATTATCAATATTTGAGATTGAGCCAAGTATACTCAATTCTTGTTCAGCGGTAGTGCAATAACATCGCTCAATTTGATGCGTTAGACAAATAATGTAACGAAAGATACCTTACTGAATTTTGATTTATGCTCAACTCATTCAATTGATATAGATACAAAGAAATGATCATTCAATTGATAAGCGAATAAGCTTTGCTACAGCACATCAGTGCACTTCTGAAAAAGTACTTAACTAAAACGTACTTAACTTAACACTTTCTGAGTCAGCCATCTGATAATAATCATAACACATCACGGCAAGTCAGCTTCTTCTGAACGTTGCATGACAGCCTTTCTCTCTTCCTCAGGCTCACACACTGCAAGGATGCTGCTCCGAAGATTACTCTTCGCCACCTTATTGATAGGGGTGAGTACCGAACCATTTTTAAATGCTGTTCTAAACATTACATACGCTAAAATCCTTTTTCAAACGTTTGACCGACATTCAAGCAGCTCTCTAAATCCACGTGCCATTGGCATTCCATCACAGTCGCATTAACCGACATCCCTCAAAGTTTTTATCTCTCACTCCGACCATATTGCGTTCCTCTGCATTCGCCAGCCTGCATGGCAATGCCGACCTGTTGTATTCCTGCACGTATTCGATCCCGTTTGTGTGTCTGTCTGCGCCGGCGTGTTTGTGTGTGCAGCTGTGGTCGGGCGGGCGGCCGCCGGCGGCTACCCACCGTCAGGCGATGTGGGTCAGTGGTGAGGAGCGCCTGCCGCCCCGGGCTGCCGCGCCGTCCGACACATCCTGGTTCCCCGCCACGGCCGGGACCGCCGGCAGCGACGAAATTCGACACAGCGCTCAACACCTGTCGGCCTAGACGCACAATAGAATGGTGTTTTTGGATATCGGGGTTAATATCGCTGTTTTTGGGGTGTTTGTCATACATAAGAAATAATTGCTAATGCTAGTTCGCAAAGCCTGATAAAATTGTTTTGAGGGAAGTTTTTACTATTCTTAATAATGATTAGAAAATGTTACCTCTAAAAAACGTCCCGCAAAATATTTCAGGTAAATCAACACATGCTTTACCAGAACGCTATCCCTTACGTGGTATTCTAAGCTGATCATTAGCATTCCATTAAATTTGCAAGCACATAGACAACTTAAATGTGTCGATCGTCCCACCCCTGCTGCGTAGACTCGCAGCCAGTCATCGGCTCTCGTCGGGTTCGGCGCTGCCCCCGACCGCGCGGCGTGGGACCGCGGGCAGCGCGGACCGCTAGCCCCGCTGACCCGGCCCGACCTAGCCGCGTGACGTCACACCGGCGTGACGTCACTGCGAGCTGTGAAACGCTTCTGAGCGGCCGCAGCCGACGGCTTTCGCCAGTCCAAAGCTCCGGTTTCAAAGCGGATACAGTTTGATGTATTGCCACGCTTTTAGAGTTTGCTAAATGCATAATTTGCACGACGATCTTTATTCATTGGAGAAAATAGTGAGGACGAATTGTAGTCTTCCTTTTTAGGATACATGTGTAGAGTGTGTCAAGCGTCATTTATGCATCCTTTCATACATGCTACAGGACTTAGTAGCATCGATATATACTCGAAATTTATTCACACCCAATTTGTAAAACATTGTCATTTCTTGCGGTTTTGACACTAAATAGCGACGGAGGGACAGTAATACAACGTCTTTAGCGCCGGGCACTTTGGTGGGATATTTTTACGGCCAGTGTCCCTGCTGTTTTATGGCGGCCCTCAGCTGCCGTTCGGGTAATGGGACGGGCGGTGGGCGAGGGTCACACGCAGAGCGTGCCCTTTGACCCTGGGCGGACGGCCACCTCTGACGGGCGGGCTGCCTAGTGCATACGGCACAGAGCCCTGGGATGAGGTGGGGTAGGATGTTTAGGATCGTAAGTTAGGCGACGCTACTAAAATAGCGGCCATGGTTGTAGGCGTCTTAAAAATAGCTGCAGAATGGGTTGTCTGGCCATTGCGTTATACAACCTCGAATGTTTTAGTTTCTTTGCATGATCGGTAATTTTAATTCAAATTAAGCTCTAGTGATGCTACTCAGGTTCTGCTTTGTTTCCCAAATTACACCCACTCCGAATTTTTAGAAACTGGAAAAATTTACAGTTGCATTTTCATGCAGACAAAACAATACGAAACTTGCCGTTTAGGCGGTTGGCTTAGCCTTATCTCGACTATTTACTTCATTCTTTTTACTAAAGCGTGCCGTCAAAAATGTTCTTCGTCTTGAATATTAATCGGGAGTTGTCTGCGCTGGTGACACACTTGTGAGCCGGCTCGGCTGGACGCCTGTCTTTAAACATTCATGAGCGCGCGCTCTTGGCCTCTTGCCTGGCTCTCGGTCAGGAGGCTGAGCCGTAATGGGATGCCTGGCGAACCGTTAGCGGCTGACACTCCCACTCCCTGTTAGCTTAGCATTTCAGACGGCTAATAGGCACCTCGGCTGTTTGTTTCTTTCCGACACCCAAAGGCCGGCACTATGGGGAGACCATGGGCGCTCGTATGGCACAACTCTACCCACTTTTCCGTGATTAATTGCGACCCTTAGGCATTGGAAAGGTTATATGATGAGCGAAGTTTCCATAGGAGGATAAAGCTATTCAATATGCTATAAATCGACGAAAATAGGGCTCGTCTTGGCGTTTAGGGTGCCGGTACTCACCGCCTTATCGTTCCGCTCGTTCGAGCTGGGTTCATTCGGATCCAGTAATAAGGCACGCGCCACCCTTCACCGCTCCATAAACCGTTCCGAGCGGGCTCTGTGCCGCCCTCCACTGGGGCCATCGCACTAGATTGTGGACTTCCTCTCTGTTTACAGTCGCGCCGGTAAACCCACCCGCTTGTTAGCTGGCTGACCGCTCGTATCGGACCCTGTGACAAGGGGCGTCCGGCGCCCTCAGTGGCTGTTATGCAGGCTATGTAGCCTACATGCCCAATGTAGGTCACTAGTCGAACTATCTGCCTCGCTGTGAGCGCCTGCCGGCGCGGCGGACCGCCCGGAGGCTACACGGCCTCTCATCCGAGCCGGCGCCCAGAACGTTTGAAATATTCGGTCATACATTGCTGCTTTATGGCCGGCGCGCCCGTTGTACGATGGTTCATGCCAGCGGTCGTCACGGGAAATGTCAGAAAGCGAGTCGGTTGGAACGCTGGACGGCCTGCAAAGCCGCCTCCCCAGAGACCCCCGGGGCTTTATTATCACTGGCCATCTCCAGGTCTGTGGGTCTCTAGGTTTCTAGCGAACGTTTATTGAGCTCTTACGTGCCGACCCATGCAGCTTTGAGAAAGTTTCTACCATATAAAGCAAGAAAATATCATTACCAAGTTGCCTGGCTTACCAGTTGCTTAGCAAGAACATCTTGCCCTAGGTTAGTTCCGAAATGTGGAGTCGACACCTCGTCGGCAGACATTCATGACGAGCTGGCGAAAACGGTCCGATCCTCTCATTCATTCTTCGTCACGCGAGTGTCTGTCTGGCCGCATATGATTAACATGGATTAGAGACGCGAGGCTGGGACGTCGGAACGGTACTGATCGTTTTTAGGCTCGAGACATGATGGATTCATGCAAACTGCCAGTCAGCCGGCGCGCCGAGCGTGGATCGTTTCACGCTTGTTGTCGGTGCATTTCATTGCTTAGGTATGTTCATTTTAGTGTCCCTCAAATCTCAATGACGACAAAAAAGGTACCTGCTTAGCTTTCATTCCTACGGGACTTCATTGAAATAATGGCCAGTTGTTACTTTTATTCAAAAGCCCTTATTGTGACACTTATTGTGACACTGTTCCGCCCTAGCGAATATTAACCCGCGACCGCCTGGGGGGGGTCGGATCCGACCCCCCCCCCCCTCCGTTTTTCTTGAATAACTCATGAACCGCCTGCGCTATCAACTTGAAACTTCGCATACCTTCTCCCCCATCAATTTGACGTCTCCTGTGCAATTTTTAAGAAAAAAAATCAAAAATTTCTGAGATATATCGATTTTAGTGATGTAACTACATGGCGTTTTCAGTCAAAAAATGGCAAATGTTTAAAAAATCGCCAAAAATCGAGGTTTTGAGCAAATTGCAAATTAAGGACAAGAAAAGACGCAGCTCAACGAGTTCTTTAAAATGGCTATCTCGGATTTTCCATAAAATGCGTTTTTCACCCCTAAAAATTCAAAAAACTATATTTTTGGAAAACAGCTAATAAAATCCAAAATTTTGAGAATTTCCAAAAAACCGGAATATATGTTATAGAGCTCTATTAGAACATTAGATGTCCCAAATTTCAACTTTCTATCTTGATTTTTGACCCCCAAATTGTAAAAAATAGCTCCAACATGCATAGGGCATGGTGACGTCATAAGCATTTTCGCGAATTAGAGGCACTTCTGAACATCGCATGTGAAAACAAATGGCACCACTAGATTCCTGGGACAAAGCTCGTCTAGAAAAGTGCATTTTTATGTCAAAAATAAAAAGTTGAAAAATTGACTTTTTTTCTTAGCCCTCGTTTAGTTATGTATGGTATAAACGATTTTTTATGCTTTCAATGCACACTTATCACCAGCACAGTGACTTGGGGTCACATATAACCATTACCATCGGATTTGGCGTGAAAAATAAGCCATAAAACATGTGTCGCACGCCCATGTAGCAGAAAGTGAAAACCGTGACCTTTCGTGACCTGACCTGACCTTGACCCGTACTTAGTATGACCCCTATACGCACATGGTACCTTCACTAGGTCTTTGAGGTCATTTGTGGTGAGTTTCGAGCAGCAGCTATCGATTCCGCTGTCCGTAAGCCTAATCATGCAAAACCCCTGAATTTGACCTTTGACCTGACCTTGACCCGAAAGTTGACCTCGATCTTAAAATCTTAAGAGTGCTTTGGGAAGGTCTCGTAGAGACCTTTCGAACGCCGCCTCGCGGGGCTCGATACGACCATTGGTTCTCGAGATAACAGGGGGGGGGGGTCGGATCCGACCCCCCCCCCCAGGCTGATGTGGGTACGGAAATAGCCCAGGCGGTGCCGGGTTAATTAGGACCACTTTTTCTATCTGCCTTTCTCTTCTCTCTACTTGGTTTTCTAATTTCTATGCTGCTCATTTCACCTATTAGAAATTCTGACTCTTAGAAAAGAAGTAAAGAAAATAAGTTTTCCCAACTCAAACGTCTAACCAGAGCATCATCGGCACCCCGAACCGCCCAAATTCTAGCTACCGCCAGAAACTTGCGGCACGTGGCACACGAACTAATCGCCCAAATTTCCGAGCCATTTCGAGCCACGGTAGCTGCGGGCTATCGATACCCAATTTGTACCGTCGGTCGCTGCCGGGCGCATCGTTCGCCATTCCGCGCTTTGATTGATGAAAACGGACCTAGAGATGAGGTTGACCCAGTTCCTTCGACCGGCCGTGTTCGGGAATTTCTCTTATGCGCGTGCCGGCGCAGAGAGGCCGGCAGCCCGCGGCGCTCATCTCAGCCTGGTGTCCGTCAGAGCCTCAGCGTGGCGGCGGCGCGGGTCGGCTCTGGCACGTGATGGTGTGAGCTAAATTGGCCGGCTTCCGCCGCGGATGACCGCTAGAATCTCGTGCCTGGGCGAGCTTACAGACAGCTTCGTGTGCTACCGGCATCATTACCTCACACAGATGGAACTAGCGTCCAACGGTATCCATGGTGATTCGTGCCAATTGACGATCCTCCGAACTAGGTGATGACTTAGAAGGCGGTCAGACGCATAAGCGAGAGACTGCAAGTCAGCATCCGAACATAACTCAGGAGACTGCGATGCGGAGTTGGAGTGTATCTGAATGGCAGTTCTGTGGCGTAATGGGCCTCCCAGGAGCCGTTACGCATTATTAGAGCACTAATGTCGGTAGTCACATCAATTAATGATATGAATCAGCTGTTAGTGAAATTCATGCACCCGGCTTTTCGTAAAGGGCTGAGCATTATAATGCACTTACAACTTCCATCGTATCTTGAAAGATCAAACGTTTTGCTGTCTCCGTTTAACTTCGCGATCAATGAAATGAATCGTTGTCATCCCGTTAGGACGTTACATCATGGAAACATGAACTCAAAAGCGTTCTAAGATCAGCTTCTCGAGTTTGAATTCAAAGCTTATCTTAAAGCCAATAACTTTGGAGCGTACCTGATAAAGATGTTATTCATTCATCCATAGACCTTTCAAAGTTCAGATATTTTATTGAGAAGAATGGGGAAACTTGAGGGGCTGCAATTCAGGAGTAGCTGATGGAAAATTGTTTCCGGGCTCGTGATGCCCTGGGATGGCAACAATGAGGCTGCGACTTGCGAGCATAAAACTACAATGCATGAAATGGACAATTACAGTGCAATTGTTATCATAGCGTGTGCACAATTAACACATGATACACCATAAAGGCTTCTAGTATAATTTCATGAGCTGCTTGACACCTGAAATGTCATGGGTATGTTTACTTTTGCACAAATTATGGCAATGGTAACAGTTCTGCCCATCAACACACTACTGAATGAACGTTGTGCACCAATGAGCAGTGCTCTTTTAGAGTCACATAACTTGATCAGTCATGGTCAGGCTACACGCTGTGCGTTTGCTGGTCATCGTCGACCTACCGTGATGCCCCGGGAAGTGCAGTGGCAATGGGCCACTTTCCCCAGCCCCGAACCGATCAAACTCCGCTGAGTTAACGATCGTGACGCAACTCAACTCTAATTGTAGACGGGGGGACTTCCGAGCGTCATGTATCCGATTTGTAAAGGGTGTTACCGACGTGCTGGCTCGCCCCATTGTCCCTGTCACGCTATATTGGCTTTCTCTGAAATCAGTCTATCCGGAATAATCACAGTCATCCAGTCGAGTATCACTAACCGTAAAAGAAACCAACAAACGCTGGAAGTGTGGAGGAGAAAGCCCCTGTATCTGAGCTGGTCCGTTCGTTCTCACCAATGTGGTCGGTAAAATTGCCCGAGTGGAGGAGCGGGCCCGCCTCTGCCGTCGCTTTTCCTTTCGTTGTCCGGTGCCGTGGCCCGCTCTCTCGCCAGCCGGCCCGCCGGCGCTTCAGGTCACGGTTGGCTGGCTCGGCTCTGTGCCGCCGTCACGGTCACGTCACGAGTCACGGGCAGCGTCACGGTCGGCGTCACGGTGGACGATTGTCGTTCGGACTGACCCGCAGCCACTCTGCCACTGCCCGAACCATGTCTATGAGTTGGGACGAATGTCTATCATCCCATCCGGTGCTGTCGATTTCGGAAGTCCATGAACGCCCACCTGGTCAGATGCTTCCACGAAGCCCGCTCCCGGCCGGTAGCGCATGGTCCGCATGCGCAAGACCGCTGTTCGTAGCTGTACCCGGGAAGAGAAAGTTCCGTCGGACGATGCTCGTCTTCTCTTCCGGAAATCGTCAGCCGTCAGCCCCTCTCCGGGTCTCGTGAGGCCGTTCGCGTTAGGTCACACATCTTTGAAGGACGTTGCTATGCCGCAACACTGATTCATGGTGGTAGTCTTCAATCCTCGGCGAATAAATGAAAGTATTGTCGCGGTAGCTACCCATCCGATCTAAAACAGCCATCTAACAACAAGTACCAGTGGTCAATCAAGTTCAAGTGTATCCGATATAAAAACAGCATACCGGACAGGTTTCGATTCGTTATGCAAGTAGTTAATTAATTGACATCCTTTATGTCAATGTAATTGGGGTATGAATGAGTTATGTTTTAGCGGTGTTTTATGACGATTAATTCAGCAAGCAATACAAAGAACATGGATACTTTTGACATAAGGTGATTAGCATTAGCCTGGCTAAGCAATTGGCACAAAAATAGCGTATAAAGCTCTATAAAAAACTTATTCCATATTCTTCATCACTAGTTTTTGCTTTGCGTCATTTCTACGTTCCACTTAAGCCACCTGCGCTCTATGACTGTCACATCTTATCGAAACCCGACACCCAAACCCGTCTGTGGAGGTGGGGGCAGGCGTAGATTTAGGTCGGGCGGTGGTGGGCGGCCCGCGCTCCTCTGGATCGGTTTTTAATTATCGGCCACTAAGACCGCCGTGGTGAGAGAGGTGGGGAGAGAGGGGCAGAGCAGTGGATATCCATGCATCCGGGGAGAGTGGGGCTGGGTAGAGACTGGAAAGAGAGAGGGGGAGAGAGCTGGTGAAGTCAGAGGAAGGGCGGGGCGAGAGTCTAAACAGGATTGACGGCGCATAAGGTGCTAACAGGATCTGGCCGGATGGAATTCAACTAACAAATGAAGGCGGCACAGAGGCACCGCAGGAGATACTGACTCTCATAACTATAAACTTTGTTTATTACGCAAACAGGGTAATGAGCTTTGGCAACAGATGGCTAAAATATCGATACTCTAAAAGGAAGTCTTTCACTGGCTCTCACTTCCAAATTGGTTTTATATTAATAGTTAATTGTTTCATTTCATAAATCTCCCTTATATGAGCGTCCGCGGGGAAAGCTGTTAGATCGATGGGATCCTATTTGTCTCTCAAATATGTGCGGACAGAGTGGTGTTCTGTTCTCGTTCCTCCATCAACTGCCGTCAGTGCCGCTCGCTGGCCCGGCTGACCTCTGACCCAGGTATCCAACGCGCTCAAAATGGGAGATGTAGTACGACAGAACCGACAGTGAGACAGAGCTTTAGAAAACGCCACGCGCACAGGGAAAGCAGCGGCGCCTCAAAGGTGCAATAATTGTATGCTCGGCTGAATATGCTGACCACAATACCTAACAGTTTTCAACCGGATAGCCACAGATTCTTGCATCCAGTTTGTCAGAATACATATTCAGACGTTCGTTAAAACTGAAGCAACATTGCGCCCATTCAAGCTGTTCCGACATATTTTCTACCTTACGTCTATTCCCAGAAGGCATAGCGTAACTAGAAAATAAGCAGTTAATAATCAAATCCAGTCAGACAAATAGTGAATTTTCTCGCCACTCTCGCTGCAGCTCCCATGGCACCAATTACCTCAGCGGCATTTCAGGCAATCTATTGAAACGTTCAAGCATCAATATCAAACTATTTACAATTTCTATTCAACACTTTCCCAGTTCATGTCATTGTCATTCTCACAACGTGGGTTCGAGTCCGACCAGTGCCCTAACTTTCTCTTTTTTCTTCTTTCGCAGTTGGTGGCATCCAATGCTGAGGAGACTCCTGAGGTGGTGAAGGCGGTGACGTCAGAGGACGAGCCGCAGGTCGCCGACAAGATCGACGTCGACGTGGATCAGATCGCTCTAGAATCTCGAATCGACGAGAGCACCGCCGACGGACCCACGCCCGTCCAGGTGCCCGCTCCCGAGGGCTTCCCCGACGCGGAGGAACGCAGCATCGAGCGCGACTCGGACATCGGACACGGTGGAGGACACGGCGGACACGGCGGAGGACATGGCGGACACAGCGCTCCGTCCTCCGGCTACGGCGCTCCCAAACCGTCTGGAGAGTACGGCCCTCCGCATCCTCCGAAGGGCGGCCCGCGCGGCCAGGGCCCGATCCCGGTGCCGTACCCCGTGCCTGTCCGGCCTGGAACTGTTGTCCTTCCCCACGCTCCGAGCGGCGGACACGGCGGCGGACACGGCGGACACGGCGGCGGACACGGACGTCCCATCGGCCACCCCAAGGGCATCGGCCGGCCGCTCCGCCCCAGGCCCCACTACGGACCCCCTCCCCACCGTCCCCGTCCCCGCCCCCGCCCCCAGTACAGGCCTCCCATCCGTCACCCCAAGCCCTCCTACGGACCCCCCAAGGCTACCTACGGACCCCCTAAGGCCACCTACGGACCTCCGCCCAAGCCGAAGCCCGCATACGGACCACCCAAGGCTACCTACGGACCCCCGCCGAAGCCCAAGCCCGCCTATGGGCCGCCGAAGGCTTCCTATGGACCTCCCCCTAAGCCCAGCGGCGAGTACGGTGCTCCCAAGGGCGGACACGGCGCTGGACACGGAGCCGGACACGGTAGCTCTGGCGGACACGGAGCCGGACACGGCAGCTCTGGCGGACACGCAGTCTCTGGAGGACATGGCGCCGGACATGGCGACTCGCACGCGGGAGGATCTGTCCACCAGTCATCGTACGTCGCGCCGGCTCCGGAGGTGACCTACTCCGAGCCCCAGGCCAGCCACGGAGACAGCCACGGCCACAGCAGCGGCGGCGGAGGTCACAGCAGCGGCGGACACAGCAGCGGAGGTCACAGCGGAGGAGGACAGAGCTACTCTGCCCCGGAACCGGTTTACAGCGCGCCCGCTCAGCCGGCCGAGGCGTACGAGGCTGCGCCGGCCAACCACGAGGTGTCGGGTGGTTATGGCGCTCCTGAGCCGGCTTCCATCAGCTACGAGGCACCCGTGCCGCAAGACTCGTACGAGGCTCCCGCTAAGCCACAGGCCCAGTACCAGGAGCCTCCTCAGGGCTACCAGCCGGCCCCGGCCGCGCCTGCTCAGGGATATGACTCTCCGCCTGCTGACGCCTGGGGATCTCCAGCCACCGACATGCCCAAGATCGTCTCGCTCGACGTGCAGTGTGACAAGTCACTGATGCGCGTCAACGTCCAGTTCGACAAGCCCTTCAACGGCATCATCTTCAGCAAGGGCCACTACAGCAACTACAACTGCGTGCACATGCAGCCCAACTCTGGCAGCGCTAACGCCCAGTTCGACATCAGCATCAACGCTTGCGGCACCACCGGAAACTCTGATGACGGCCAGTACGGCGGTTACGGCAAGGACTCCGGCTCGGGTACCTACTTCGAGAACACGATCATCATGCAGTACGACCCGCAGGTGCAGGAGGTCTGGGATCAGGCGCGCAAGCTGCGCTGCACCTGGCACAACCAGTACGAGAAGGCCGTCACCTTCCGACCCTTCCCTGTTGACATGCTGGACGTGGTGCGCGCCGACTTCGCCGGAGACAACGTGGGCTGCTGGATGCAGATCCAGGTCGGCAAGGGCCCGTGGGCGTCTGAGGTCAGCGGTCTGGTGAAGATCGGACAGACCATGACCATGGTTCTGGCCATCAAGGACGACGACAACAAGTTCGACATGCTGGTCCGCAACTGCGTCGCTCACGACGGCCACCGCGCACCGATTCAGCTGGTTGATCAGGCGGGCTGCATCACCAGGCCCAAGCTGATGTCCAAGTTCACCAAGATTAAGAACTTCGGCGCGTCGGCGTCTGTTCTCTCGTACGCTCACTTCCAGGCGTTCAAGTTCCCCGACTCGATGGAGGTGCACTTCCAGTGCACGGTCCAGATCTGCCGCTACCAGTGCCCGGAGCAGTGCGTCCAGGGCGGCGGAATTGCCCCCGGCATCGAGCCGCGGCCAGCCAACGCCTACGACGCCCCGCCTGCTGACGGTTACGACGGCTCCCGTAAGAAGCGTTCCACGCCCGAGGAGGCGCGCGACGTCGGCATCAACCGGGTCATCCAGGTGGTGTCTACGCGCGACCTGGCCTTCGCGCTGGAGAGCTCGGCCACCAACGATACCGAGACGGTCGTGTTCCCCGTGCGCAACGACTCGCACATGATCTGCATGTCGACGCCGGGCTTCGCGGCGACGCTGATCGTCCTGCTGGCGATCCTCATCATCTCGTGCCTGCTGTCGGCGTTCCTGTGCTTGCGGTACCGCACCTTCGGCGGCGACCGGTCTGTGCTCTCGGCAGCCTTCGAGAACCCCATCTTCCTGCACAAGAAGGGTCACTTCTAAGCGCCCTCAGGCATTACGGATGAGCTCATCAAGTCACAGGCGGAGCCGGTCGAGACTGCCGCCGCTGGTCGGCGAGATGGTGGCCCACCCTAGCTCACTGTCTGCTGACCTGGGTTCTCTTCTCGTCACGTGAAGAGGCTCCAAGTCAGGGTGGACAAGTGAGGAGATGGTCACTGGCGGCCGACCCGGCTTCGCCCCACCATCCACTGCCGTTGTTGATGGGTGTCCTCGCTGCGATGTCGCGGCGAGACTCGTTGACAGGGCTGCACCCTCACCCCCACCACCCCTCATCCCTCTCAAACGGGCCAGCTGACCCGGGTGGATTATAGGCAAACCGCAAAGGTCACCAGCTAAACTACGGACCAGGGGTACCCCCGCTAGACAGAGTACTGTAATATTTATAGACTTGTGACTTTAGACGACCTCAACACATACTTTCCACGCAGTTTGTCAGATTTTGATCTGGACTCACGTCTAAAATTTCCGTATGCTAGAGAATGAGTGTAGATGTTAGTTATACCCTGAGGATTCTAGTCCGAGGGAGTTGCCAAATAACCAGACGTTTCCCTCAACTGTAGGTATTTGTGCTGCTCAATTGCAGAAGCTCAACTCGCTTATCTATTTATTCTTGCTCAAGAGGGGACGTTGCTGGTGGCTGTGCGTTGGCATGACAACGCCGGTCGTTTCGTTATCCTGTTCTGCGGTGGAAGTTGGGTGGAAGGACTCACAAGGTGTTGTCGCTGTTAACTAGTTGTAAGGCCCAGTGCACAGGCACAGGAGATCGCGAGTGAGAGCGTGCTAGAGTTGCATTGCGTCTGAAAGGAGTACAAACTGCGTATCGCACTCGATACTGCACTAGCTGACAAGACAGCGGTCCGACCCTGGTCGGCTCTGGTGACCCCACCCGGGTCAGCTGGCCCTGCAGGGCCCCCTCCCCTCCCCTCCCCTCCCGTTCCCGATCCCTGCCCTGCCGCCGGCGTCTGGTCACTGCCATGTCCGTGACGTCACCAGATGACGGAGTCCCGGTGATGACGTCACTCCCGGCCCGGCCCGTGTCTGGCCCACTTTCTGCGGGTCAGACACGGGCCGTGCGGGGGCGGACGTCGGCCGTCTCCGACCAGAGACTGGCTGAACGGACCGTGACACTGACCGGTCGCCGGCAACACCGCTCCGTTCGTGGGGCAGTCGTCCCAGCGACTCTGTAAATACTTGTGATATATGCGTGTATGTATCCCTGTATTTCCAGGACATCTGTAGATAGCCCTTTATTTATTTTGTTGTTGTGTGACCCTGCGACGGCGGGATATACTGTAGCGGCAGTGAGTCGCGCCTGGCCGACCCGCGTCCTGAGGTTCCTCCCTCGTCGGATGTGGTGTCACGTCATTGTTGAGCGCTCGTGCGGCGCTGCCTCAATTGTTACTCTGTGTAAGAGAGTGTAAATTGGCCAGGAGTGTCTGATGGATGGATGGTGCGCGCGTTTTAGTGACGAGGAACGAGGTGTAAATGAATGAGCACTACTAATTTGTGTGTAACATGCTAGTGAGTGAATGAATAAAAGTAGTAAAAGAACTTGTCTGTATGGTGTTGAAGGTCAACCGACAAACTGGTTCATAATCAGATAAACACATGAACGTCGTACATAGTGCAAGGTACAACAACGTACATACATAGATCAAAGCATATCAAAGCGATGGACATGTCACACTCAGTTTTTTTTTTTGACAAATTATAAAATAAATTTCAATTAGAGGGAAATCAGACGGTTACTTGTCACAAGAGTCACACATAGTCAAAAAAGGTTTTCTGGCCACTATTTGAAAAGTTATGTATTTATTGCCACGCACACAGCACCACAGTCATAAAGCCGAACGAGGGACGATGCAACTTAGCTCCGAGATAAGGGGCTTGTATACATATTCATAACGCACATGAGATTGCGATGATGTGATTAAACTTCGAGATCACGGTCAAAACTCAAAGTCATGCTCAAAATTGACATTATACTTTGCATTTCTTCGTATATCTTGTATATGTTACAGGCAATGTGTGGAATCAGGCATTCTATAGAATGCCTAGGCATTCTATAGAATGCCTGACCGACCAGGCATTCTATAGAATCCCTAGGTATTCTATAGAATGCCTGACCCACCAGGGATTCTATAGAATCCCTAGGCATTCTATAGAATGCCTGATTTTCAGGCATTCTATAGAATGCCTAGGAAATACCTACATACACGAATCTTTCCAACACATTAGGTAGTGTAGGTATGCTGTATAATATTATGAGCACAGACCGATATGTAACATTATTATTTTCTGCCAGGCTACCTTGCGATCAGCTATTTATGTTCATTCAGTCAAATGTTCATTCAGTCATTCATGTTCATTCAGTCAAATTTTCCGGTCAGGTATCCAATCTAACCTTATTAGGTCAAATTGTATCAGGATAGTATTTATCTTAACGCTAGAAAGACGATGGTGGTTATGTCAATATCGGAAACGTCTTTGGTAAAAAATTACACAGAAAAAAAGTTTGACAAATCGTCCATTTTTATAGGTGTTTTCCTTCTAAGGAATTGATTTAAGGTCAAACTGGAGAAAACGGCTAGGAGCCAAAAATCGACAAAAATTGGCCTGACCTAAAATGGCTCAGCTATTTGTTTTAATCATGGCATCCTTTGGAACATTGCCAAAGAAGAACTGGAGTAAAATTTCATAATTTTGACGACATTTCGAATACCGCATGGCCCAGAAGTCAAGCTGGAAGGGGAGGTCGAACAACACCTAATCCGGCTCTTGTTACGGCCGGGCCACCGCCCGGACGTGGAAAAATGAGCCATTTATTCAGGTTATTCCTTGACATTACAGTGAAGGTTGAGCTGTCCATGTATATTGAAAGTCGTTACACGAAGTGCTTATGACGACATAAAATGTGACCTTTTGCTATATTCTTCGCCTTCATTTCTAACATCAGAACAAAGCCATCGTCATTCGCGCAATCACTTTCGATTCAAGCCTTACGGTCCACCCTCCCAGCCAACACCCAACACCCTTCTAATGCAGCTTCGTATCTGCAGCAGCATAATCCTCCGAGGGTAACCGTTTAAGCGACTGGTTGGCCTGTGGCTCTCCCGCGTGCCTTGCGCCGTGGCTCTCCTGTGCCAACGGGATTGGATCAGTTGCTGCTTGCGGCGCACCATTTGGTGGTCGGCAATCGGCATAGCCCAATTTCTCCCTCGCTTCCTCTCAACTCATTGCCCTGAAATGGTGTGAGGTGACGACCGGCCTAGGCCAACAAAGAAAATAAGGTAAACAAATAGCATTACTGCCACCGACCCCTAATTTTCGAAGTGTGTTTCGGACAATCAAAATACTTAGGCATTCTATAGAATGCCTGGGAGCTTAACCCGCGCCCTGGTGGGGTCTGTTTATAACGCGACCTGGTGGGGGGGGCTATTTTTTGCCCCCCCTCGTATCTCCGAAACTACTGGACGGATCCGCAAAATTCAAACGGCGTTCGAAAGGCCTGTCAAATTTGTCGAGGGAAACCAAGTTTCATTGACCTCGGGGTCACCGATGACGTCACAGGTCAGGTCAAAGATGACATGTTTCACCGTTCACGGGTCATCTAGGGAATGCGCTATAACACCGAATAAAACGCATCTTGTCGAGATTCAGCGATAGGGCGTCAGTTGCCTAGTAGATATGTTGCTATTAGAGGTCACTGACAATACCAGGTCAGGTCACAGGTCAGGTCACCAAGGGTCACAGGTCAGGTCACATGAGCCCAACTTTACTAAGGTTGTGTGATGCATGTTTTATGGCCAATTTTTCATTTCCAACTCAATGGCGTTGGTTATAAGACCATCACGGGTACGGTTTAGGTCACTTTCTGGTGAAGTTCAGGTCAAGGTCAGGTCAAGGTCAGGCCAAAAAAGGTCAAATTTTAAAGTTGATATTTTTGCATTAAATGGGTATTGATTCGATGCAGCTCATCACGGGGAGTCTAATGGTGGTCTTTGTTTTGCGCTACGGGGTCTAGAATTGCTAAAAATTGAGTTTGAAAATTTGACGTCATCAATTTTGAACAGTTTTTTCGCTGTAACTTCGCCAAAAAAGAGGTATCAATCTAAAATTTGGTATGTGGATGGAAGACGGTAAGGACTCTCACATATATTCCGGTTTTTGCGAAATTCAAAAAACTTTTTTGATCTTTCGATGATTATATCCAAAAAAATTATTTTTTGATTTTTGGGGGTCAAAATCCAAAAATTTAAAAATCTGAGATAGCAGTTTTGTAGCCCTGTCGATTCTACAGCTTTTATGTTCTTATCATTTTTCTGTATTTGCAAAGCTATAGGCCTGACAACTCTTCCCGCGAAACCCTTTTTTGGGTCGAAAACGGCAGAACATGACGTCACTCTGACGTCATTTCCGGCCAACCTATCATAGCCTTTGGAAAAATTTTGGTCACAATGTGTAAAATTGATGTCCGGGAGGGTACTGAAAGTTTGGTGACAATCGGCGCAACGGTTCTGGAGATATATCGAAAAGTCTAGAGGGGGGGGGGCAAAAAATAGCCCCCCCCCCACCAGGTCGCGGGTTAAGCCAGGCATTCTATAGAATGCCTAAGCAGTCAGGGATTCTATAGAATGCCTAGGGATTCTATAGAATGCCTGGTCGGTCAGGCATTCTATAGAATGCCTAGGCATTCTATAGAATGCCTGATTCCACACATTGCCTGTAACATATACACTAACTTGCAAAATGTCTTGCAATATTTTTAAGGTTATCAGGCACCTACTTGTAGGTCATGTTATGATACAATGCTGCCCCAGGGTCAAGGTCGGGAAAGAGTACCTTTGTTAGAGGTTATTTCAATCATTCAAGTATTTTTGTCAAGCCATAATAAATCAGCTGTTTTTGCTATCTTCATGCTCTAACTGGATGCTTTATAAAGGGGAGGGGTCCAGCGGACCACCTTGCCGTTTGACCCCTGATCAAGCTAGAGCTTCGCGGTAAGAAACGAACGTGCTGTCCGTGACGAGAGGAGGCTGATGATACCCAATTTTAAGTTCCTAGATTATTGGTTGACTTTCCAGGTCAGGTCAATGACCCAAAACCCAATGAGCCGAACACATGTAAGGCGTTTTCAGCGCTCTAGCACGCCTCTATCAGAAGTTATAAGCGAAAAACTGTTGGATTCTGTTCGTGACCTGAGATGACCTCGGGGACATAACGAGGGGTCGCAGTTGCCATTTTCCGGTTCAGTGTGTCAATTGTACCTACATCTCGGTGTTTGAGAGTGTCTAGAATAGCGTTCGTGCAAAACAGACGCTTTTCAATTTTCTCCCATTGACTTATAATGGAGAGGCCGCAAAATTGACCCTGACCTTAGGTCACCGATATAAAAATTCCGAGATATACATTTAATAGATAATGTTGCTCTAATCAACTGCTGAAAATTTCAAGGTAATCGATCAATCGGTGTAGCTATGACGAGCATTCTTATTTTTTCTGAGGTAAGATCACTTGGCGTGACCTAGTGGCCTGACCTAAGGCGACCTGGGTTTGAAATTTGTACAATATGTGCGGAAAAGATGCACAAACAGGTGTGCCAAAAACGGCGGCGCTCCGCGCCGCCGTTTTTGAGATATCTGCGAAAAACCGCAGGGAGGGGGTGTTCACTGTTCAAACACCCCCGGCCCGGCGAGTGATATGTAGTGTTACTGTTATGCGTACTGTTGTAGTCTCCATACCGAGGTGTTTCTATTGTGTGTGCTGAATGTCTTCGTATGATAGTGTTGCTGTTATGTGTACTGTTGCAGTCTCCATACCGTGCAGTGGTGCTACTGTTGTGTGTACTATTGCAGTCTCTAGACAATGGAGCTACTGTTGTGTGGATTATTGCAGTCTCCATCCCGTGGTGCTAACTTTGTGTGCAGTCTTCGGACGATGGCGCTACTATTGCGTATATCGGTGGCCGGTGCAGTCTTCGTATGATGGTGCTACTGTTATGTGTACATACTGTTGCAGCCTCCATACCGTGCAGCGGTGCTACTGTTACGTGTACTGTTGCAGTCTCCGTACGACGGTGTTACTGCTGTGTGAACCGTAAGTCTCCGCATGCCGCGCAACAGTGTTACTGTTATGTATATTGTATACTGCTGCAGTCTTTATCCTGTGGTGTTACTGCTGTGTGTTCTGTAACAGTATCCATATTTAACAACTACCGCAGTCATGCGTGGGATATTGTTTCATAGCATGAACTGCTTTTTGCTCTTCATGTGGCTGGTAAAGCTTATATCGTTTTTTTCCGGGTGGCCCAGAAAAAACGTTCCGAACTTTGGAGGCCTATATATCAAATCCGAGTGCAAATAACGAGCCAAAATTTCCATCAAGTTTGCGTCATTTCTTTGCGCATTGGTATGCCAAATTATAACACTATACCATCATTTTCAAGCTGGCAATCTTGAGTTGAATTAAGCAAGACGTTTTTGCATTTTTTGCTGATGTCAAACGATAGTGATGATTGGGTTAGACGTCCAATGTTGTAAAAAAGAGTAAAA